GGCAAAAATAGTTCCTACTGAATACTTTTTGACACTGTAGCATTGAAGTTCTGAAAATAGAGATAATGTGCACGCACTTTGTAGACTGTAAGGAATTAATTATTCTTCTCATCAAATCATCTATTAATCTTACGAAATTATTACGATGATGAACATAATTAATATATATATATATATAAATATTTAGATGAGCAGTGCCGTGTAGGGGTAGACTAGATAGGCTGTAATGAATAATGTTAAAGTATAGAGTAATATATATTACTCTATCTGCTACATACTTTCGATTAACCATCGCTATATTCAAAATCTTTTGCCGAAGATTAAGTATTACATTCAGGTTGTCACTGTTCATTGGCAATTTGGCTCAAATCAGTTAGTTCTTAAGTATTAGGGATGGAGTTGCTCGCGTCCGTAGGAATTACTTGAATCCTGTTTCCCTACAAGTATCCCCTGGGTAGTGCTAAACGAGCAGCACTACATTCTGGTGGTAGCTTGGTCCTTTACTAGTGAGAGGCCCGACTGAGGGTTAGTTACCACCAACCTGGCAAAGACATACCGCCAAATGATTCAAATCATGTTCGGGTATGATGTTAAGTGAAACCCATTTCTTAAGGAGAATGGGTCTGAGCAGTTGCGTTGCACATACGAACCGGTTGCGAGGCGGCCGTTTCTTAGTGGCAGGTGCCTGCTTATGGAGGTTAGCGGGATCCGAAGAACGGCTGCACCTCTGGCCGACCGTAGATAGTTGGGGGCCCAATTAATAAGCCAGCCACTCATGAATGGCTGCCCAGCCATCTTACGAAAAAATCTAGGTTGGCTCCACCATGCTGTTTGGCGACCGGAGGAGAGGACCTGGTGGCAATTTCCAGAGTTCGGGCGTCCCCGCGATCTCCATGCTAGGTACCATCGATGCTGTGACTCTGATTGCGTCTTTAGGTTATATGTGTGTCGCCTCGTCCAACGGCCATTCTACCAATCTATTCACTGCCACTATTTATGAAAAAAAAAATGAAAAAGAAGAGTAAGTTTGTACAGCGGTTGCACTCCCTCTCCGTCAAAGTGCACATCACAAACATCCGAGGCCTGCACTATAATCTTAATGCAGTCCACTACCACCTTGAGACTGGCAAGCCGCACTTACTCTTCTTGACTGAGACGCAGATCAGATGTCCTCTAGATGCGGCGTACCTTAGCTACCCTGGGTACACATTGGAGCATAATTTCCATCAGCGCGCCGGAGTCTGTTTACGTCCGCAACGACATCTACTGTAAGCGTCTCCGTCACCTTGAAGACCCCACTTTCTCTATGATCTGGGTATTGATAGACACAGGAATAGATAAAATTATTTATTCTTGTGTCTACCGATCGCACAGCGGTGACCAGGAGACAACTAGGCTGTTTGAACACCTCAGTGAAGCCTCTGATTTGGCTCTAAATCGATACACTATTGCACAGTTGGTTTTCCTGGAGGACTTTAATGCCTGTCATCAGGACTGGCTGTTCCCATACCAGAAGACTGACCACGCTCTGAGAGACGCTTGGAATTTTCTTTTGTCGCAAGGGCTCTCCCAGCTGGTACAACAAGCGACTAGGGTACCTGATGTGGATGGGCACACAGCCAACTAACTGCTTCGATCTTCTGCTGACGACCGATCCAGAGAGGTACGATGTTCAGGTTACCTCACCCTTGGGAACTTCTGACCACGGTCTGGTGAAATCTGTGTCGTTATATTCCCCACCTAACAACGATTTCCACGGTGTGTGGCGAGTGTGGCGATAAAAGTCACCAGATTGGGATGAGATGTGGCATTTCTTATCTTTGGCGGCAGGTCTACTTCTCGTATGAAGACACGTCGAACTGCGCGGATGCCATAACCGATGTGATACGTCAAGCGATGGAGTATTTCGTTCCCTTTACTGACGTGCCCATTGATGGTAAAGCTCGCCTGTGGTTCAACGCCTAGTACGCCCGTGCTGAAAAGCACAAGCATATGGCGTACTTATGCTGGGTCGATGCTCAAGACCGCAAAGCTCCGGATGTTATCCTTAAGAATATAGACTTTAACCAAGCCACCAAGTCCTGTAAAAAGGCATTACGCCAAGCCAGTTCCAACCGTATTAAACGCATCGGTTTAAAGCTCTCTGTCAAACCATCGGGCAGTAGAGCTTTTTGGTCTCTCGCCAAAGCGATCGAGACAAACTTCTGTCGGTCTACACTGCTCCGCTGGTAAAACCAAATAGCTCACTGGCGCATGCGTCTAAGGAGAAAGCGGACTTATTTGCTTCTCTTTTTGCTCGCAATTCGCGTCTGTACAGTAGCAACAGCGTACCAATTCAATTACCTCACTGCGGTATCTTTATGTCAGAGGTCCGTATCACCAACAAGAAGGTTCTTAAAACCTACGTTTAGACGCTCCTGTCCTGCAGAGGGCTTTTACTGGCTGATGAGAAAGAGAATTAAAAAGTGGTCATCATTAAAATGGCTTGTTTTAAATATTTAAAATACATCCATCATGACTCTTCTGTAATTTCCCGCATTATACTTTACACAAAAGTGTAAAAAAAGAATTATTCTTTTTTATAGTGCCCTCCTCAACATTGAAGTTTGCAATTTATGAAGCTCTGTTTTTGTAAATAAGAGTAATTAATAATTATTGCGTCAAAGGCGCGATATGTGTGGTAACTGCGATCACAAATTCTCCCTACAACGAGAGAGGCTTTTGTCCAGCACTTTTACGGGATGATGACGAAGAGTAACTGTTAACCCTTTCCTTAAGTTCTGTGCACTCCATCGGTATTTTTTATGATAGTACACTTTATTAATATAAACATAATAGCTTTATTAAGTAATACAATATGAATTGGTGTATTTTATAAAATACAAATTAGGATGAATCTTCAAAGGAATTACCAATTTATTCCGCTTTAAAACTATCGAAAAAAAGATTCTATACTAACAAATTTGCGGGCATTAATAGTGTATTAATTAAAATTAAAATTCAGTGAAATTAAGTTCCAAAATAAATAAGTATATGTAAAGCGTATCACGAAACATCAAAACTCAACATTTATCACGTCAATATATTAATTGATAAATATTAATATAACAGTTAAGCCGTTGTATCACCGTTGTATGAATTCAGCAATTTAATAGTTACCGTAAGAAATGTGATAAAAGACTGAAAATCAGTAGAAGATTCTGGCAATAAATACGTTCCAAATTTTAATTCACAACAACTTAAAAAGATTACTTTAAATTGTAGCAATACTTACGGCCAGATGTATATTAGTCAGATAGACCGTTAGATTTAATTACCTTTTATTATGCAGTAACATCGTATATTAAACGAAGCCGAAACGAAGTCCGCTACACTGGTTGGTGGCGTTTTTACAGTACCGGTCTAAGTATGTTTTTGTAATAGATAAGTGAATGGATTCCCTAATGAGTTATGCTCCTATTAAAACGAGAATAAGAATTAGCTCATGATATGGCATCATTCCGAAGGAGACTTGTGCAGCATATGAATTACACTACTTACACCATTGTATCTAGTTAGTGTACCTGAAACTCCTACCTGCGTTTGTGTTTGTATTGTGATAATTCCGTATTACCGACACGAAATCCTAGTCATACTTACACAAAATTTAAAAATATAAGCTTAAAGGCATTATTAAAGCTACACGTACTGTATTAAAATTAATCGAAAGCGAATGCAGTTGGTGGGATGACGCGGAGACGCAGACAAAACCGCAAGCTCATATTATATCGCTTAATATCCTCCCCTCCAGTTATGTAACAGAAACAAGTGTAACGCGAGGTATAACAAACGCATGTTCGGCATTCGACTTGCATTTGTTTACGAGCATTTAGTTACATAAGGCATCCCACTGTGGACCATTCCAGGCACTATTTATATGCACTTTCCATTCCCGACGCCTCTTGACACATATTACACACTCCAGTGACTAAGGACAGTCTAAAGATAATTTTCCTGCTGTTTAACACGGCTATTAGGTAAATTTTTTAATGCCCGTCAAATTGGCTTTTCTAGTTCCTTTTACATGTGTTCATATTTCGTAACACCTTTCCGTTATATGTGATACCGTAAGAAGTAATTCAAACTAACAGAATACTAACTCAAAACGATTGTAAAAGCAGCATCTAATTAAGTAGATTATATACGATTTTGTAAGCTTTAATTTGACTGTATCGTATGTCTGGTGGTTGTCCGAGGCCTGTTTTTTTTTAATTCCGTGTCCCGAACAGCACGTAAAAATCTGTTGGTTTTGCACCTCATTTCTCTCCAGTAATATCGGATTGCCGACCCGTCGGATTATGAGAGTGAGGTAATAAAATCACCTGTGTTTGCACACACACTATTACAAGCAAATGCCTAGTCTCTGTTGAGAATGGCCGCCGTGATCGAAATACGGTCAGATGGACATTATGTAGCCCAACTAAATAAATTTTAATATAACTTTCGCGCATAAAGATACTGAACTGTAGTAACGTATTATATTTCATTTAATGGTATAAATATTACATACATTGAAATTTAACTTTGATCACATACAATTCGTATTTCGTTGGTCTAACACAACATGTATTCTGATTTAAAAAAATATACTTATAATTATTTTGAACGAGTTGGCAATTTTGTGCTGAATTGTATTTTAATATTTAATAAAACAAAAGATCTTTTGCATCTTCAGACGTAAAGTAAATTGTGTTCTAAAATGGATCTTCAGTTGAAAGGTATTTTGTAGTTAAGTGTTTTACCGGCGAAACAAAAAAAAAGTTATGGCAAGATGTCAACAAACACGTGGTGGTCGACGCGTGGAAATATCAGTCAAAAAACCAGCAATTCAAGATAAAATATGTCAAGTTTCAACGTTATTCCATTCTCAATCATTCGTTGTGTTAGTTTCACTCGCCACTCGATTAAGTATCTGAATTTTTGCATAAGAGGTAATAGCAGAGGCTCGTTGGGTACCGTACCGTCGCAGTGCCTGCAGCGTTTGGGCTCCGGGGGTGCGAGCTCGTCGCCGAGTTCGCGGTGTCGTACGGGCATGGCGGCGCATCCCGCGCCAGCGCCGCCTTTGCGTCAGTACGCTTGCACGCTCCACGTCGACCGCTCCTGTAGCGGCGGCGGCGTCGCGGCTGCCACTGAGCTTATCGGAACGCCGCCCGCCCCGGCCGGTAGGCGGCGCCCATTTACAGGTTATTTTGAGCGGCTCTGACTCACGGTTCCAACTGCAACGCAATGAGCGGCGCCTGCGCATCTCTACGCTACGTTAGCCAGCTTGATCCCATGAGGTCTCATGATCTTTGCCGCCCTTCTTCTAATGAGCTTTTAATTACTTGCCAAGGAAAAAAACGATAACAATATAGATATTGTGTCAATCTATTATCAGTAATAGATTAAAAATATTTTTTTATTTAAAAATGTAGATATAAAATTTATGCAGCATTATAATTTACTAACATAGTAATATTGTGCATTTTATTTTATGATGGAGATGTTTAAACTCATATCTAGCAGTATTCCTCTTAAGTAAGATAGATTATGTTGTAGTATTAGTGGCTTACTTAACCAGAGTTAAAATCTCATTTGCTTAGCAAAGGATCACACTTATCTCAAACTGGATATCTTTCTCGATACCACAAAAATTGTAATGATAATGCTCGAGTGGTAGATCGTTATTGATTTATTAGTTTATACTTTAAAATCAGAAAATAATTATTAATGACAGGTAAGTTTAAACTTTAATGTGATACAATCGAAAGAGAATTCAAAAATCCATTGTCACATTATGTCACATTATGTAAGAGAAATATAGAAAGCCTTTTCAGAGTGATAAGCCCTCCTCTTAATAAAAAGGACAAAATTAATTAATAGAATCAGTTATTACTTTTCAAAAATCTATTATATTAAAGATGAGAAAATTAATTAACCTAATCAATGTGAAAAATATGTTTTCATTGGCAACAGCTAATACAGCAGTTGCCAATCTATTAAAGGCCTGTCAATTGATACCTATATGCATTATGTCAGATATGAATTGATTAATCAGTTTTAAATTGATGCAACTAAATAAGGGACAATGCGTAAGATATACCAGGCTTATCACACCTTAATTTCATTGCTTTAAGTAAAGTTGTAAGAAATGAAAATGCAATAAAGTGATGATTTATATTATAATAAATAAGATAGATTTAATGCGCACAAGTGTAAATAAATACCATCCTCAAATAAGCCTCGATAATTCCTTTCATTTATTGATCTAAAATAAATATTAAACTAGTATTTTTATTTTTAAAATTTCTACATGATTGTGAAAATTTCAGCCATACTCAAACTTTACAGTGTCTTATATTTAAAATTACACTCATGAAAGATAAAGAGAGGAGCAAAAAATGTCAAGGACAGTATAATAAGTACATTCGTTTATAGTATAAAAGCATTTTAATTGTGGCAGACCTGCTGTACACCTTGTTTAATTTATGTTGGGAACTTAAGCGGGTACCGGGAGACTGGTGCAAAGCCGTGATAGTCCCAATATATAAGGGAAAAGGATCACAGCAGGACTGTAAAAACTACCGTGGTATCAGCCTTCTTAGCATTGTGGGAAAACTGTATGCTAAGGTACTAATTGAAAGAGTTATGAAAGAAACTGACGGAAAAATTTGGGATGTGCAAGCGGGATTTAGAAAGGGAATGGGATGTACGGATCAGGTCTTTTCCATGCGCATGATCGCCGAGAAGTTTTTGGCCAAAAACCAAAAAGTTTTTTGTGCGTTCGTGGACTTGGAGAAGGCTTATGACAGAGTGGACAGGGATGTGTTATGGCAAACACTGAACTCATTTGGGTTGAGCGCTGGTCTGATACAGGCATTGAAGTCTCTATATAGGGACTCTAGTGCTTGTGTCAGGATCAACGGGGCCTACTCGGACTGGTTTGACATCCATAAAGGTGTCAGACAGGGCTGTGTGGCTTCCCCGTGGTTGTTCAACCTATTTATGGACAGTTGTTTGGAAAATTTGAAAGTAGAAGAATGCGGGTTAAGAATGGGTGAGTTAACCGTCAAATGCCTTTTGTACGCCGATGATCAAGTCATACTTGCGTCGTCGGCAGCCGAGTTGCAAATGATGGTTACATTAATGAACAGGACATTAAAAGAAAAGGGAATGAAAGTGAACGCAAGTAAGACGAAAGTTATGGTTTTTGAAAGAGAAGAAAGTAAAACGATATGTGAAATAAGAATAGAAGGGGAGTTGGTAGAGCAAGTAGATGAGTTTGTATATTTGGGATGTGTGTTTAGCAGGGATGGTAGATATGATAAGGATATAGAACGACGAGTGAATGCAGGAAATAGAGTCAATGGGGCTCTACACTCTATTGTGAAAAGTCAGAATGTGTCCAAAAAGGCACGTATGGCAATTCACAATGCTGTGTTAGTACCTACTTTAATGTATGGTAGTGAAAGTTGGGTGTGGCAGAAGAAGCATGAGAGTAGAATAAATGCTGTAGAAATGCGGTCATTAAGGAGTATGTTAGGGATGAAGCTGAATGACAGAGTGAGAAATTGTTTAATAAGAGAAGAGTGTGGTTTGCAAGATGATATTGTGACCAGGATTAAGAAAGGAATGCTTCGGTGGTTTGGCCATGTAGAAAGAATGAATGAGGAAAGAGTGACAAAGCAAATTTATGTTGCAGAGGTGAACGGCATAGTCGGGAAGGGTCGCCCTAGGCGAAAGTTTATCGACCAAATTGGCGATATATTAAAAATGGGCCAAATCAAGAGTACCTTTAACCGACGAGCGTGTATGCGTAGGTATATGGATGTGGAGGAAGCGAGAGAGGTGTGTCAGGATCGTGCCAAATGGAAGTCCATAATCTCTGCCTACCCCTCTGGGTGACAGGCGTGAGTGTTTATGTTATGTTTTTAATTAGAAGATAGTTTTTCAGTCTGAATGAATAAATAATTTAATGAATCAATGAAATTTGGTAATTTCAACTCCATTTATTAATTCATTACAGCCCTTCACAAGTGCACTGCTGAACATAGACTGCCCCAAGGAACGAAAAGCACAGTACTGAACTACTTGTATCCATTGACTTCCTGCATGTCTTGCCAGGACGTCACCCCATCTAGTGGTTTTTTTTTATAGGAGAGGGGGCAAACAAGCATGCGGCTCATCTAATGGTAAGTGACTACCGCCGCCCATGAACAACTGCAATACCAGGGAGGGAATTGCAGATGCGTTGCTGGCCTTTTAAAAAGGAGTAGGCTCTTTTCTTGAAGGTCCCTAAGTCATATCGGTCCGGAAAAATCGCTGATGGTAATTGATTCCACAAGGAAGTCGTGCGAGGAAGAAAACATGTTTTAAATCGCACAGTGGTGGACCGCCAATCATCCAGATGGTGAGGATGGTATCGGAAGTTCTGCCGCGATGTGCGTTCGTGAAATTTACCGGCTGGGATTAATCCGAACAATTCCTCAGAGCACTCCCCATGGTAAAAGTGAAAGAAAATGCAAAGGGGTGCAACATCTCTTCCCAGTGTCAATGAATCGAGCCGATCGAAAAGGACTCGGTCGTCAACGATTCGAGCCGCTCTGTGCTGGATATGGTCAAGTGGAAGGAGCTGGCACTGGGGAGCCCTGCCCAGGAATGTGAACAGTATTCCATGTGAGGCCGAACCTACGCCTTGTAAAGTTGCAGGCGGTGTGCCGGCATGAAATACTGTGCCGCTCTGCTGAGCATGCCAAGCTTTTTAGGGGCCAATTTGGCCTTCTTTTCCAAGTGACCACGAAACTGCACGTCACTCGATATGTCGACTCCGAGGATTCCGATACTGGCTGAGGCAAGAAGGGGAGTGCCTTGAAACTGGGGTGATACGATAAAGGGGTTCTTTTTAGCAGTAAATGTGCAAACTTGTGTCTTCTGAGGATTAAACTGGCTTAGATTTAGTCGCCCCCAATCTGAGATGATTGATTATTATTATTTATTATTTTTGAATTACAGAGTTAAATACCTGGGATCGCCGAGTATACTCCCCAGGGAGCATACTCGGCGATCCCAGGTAATTATCAGTACCAGGTATCCTAGGTGACTGATAATGTAAACAACTTGCTAAGTTTCCTCAAGGAGCTTGCAATTAATCAATAGCCAAATAATTGTGAACCAATACAATATTTATATTAAACACTTTCTAATTGATTGAATGTAGATGGTTAATGTTTAATTTTGTTAATGAGATGTTTAATAATCATCCGCCCTATACTTCACCTACTGCTACCAGGCTGCCACTCGAGAACCATTTCAACTCCACATCTGATGTTAGTATTTTATACATAGAAAGAATTGTTACGAACTACCGTAGAACTTGCTGCCTACATTCAAAATTTAAATTATTCAAAGTGCAGTTGATCCCGCTGGGGATCCACCTACCATCTAAGGCCTACTTGCTTGCTGTGCCGCGAGCTAATGGAGTGTTGGCACACCACCCTACCAACGGCCATCATCACCGTCGGGCTTGGGTTATCACCGGCTTCTTCTGCTAGCTGGCTGTCTACTACCCTGAAAGAACAGTGCTTGGACTTCATCCCCTACGTCAGGCCAGTGATCACCTTCCTAGAACCTTACTTTGTATGTGTGCAGAAATAACATAAATGAAAATAATTAAGAACCCACCTACTTCTGAACCATCTAGCGGTAGTACCGCTGCGGTACACTTATACAAAAATTTCATAAACTCTAGACTATACTTGAATGCTATCGATGCCTTAATATATAACCAATATGTTTAAATATTGTAGACTTTCAATAATCCCTTCAATTCATAAAAGGTCATCTACATTTGGCTGATGACCTTACCCGGAGCAGTTCAGCAATGGAAGCTGTAGGTTCTGAACTCATAGTTGCACTATGCTTTTCTTTGCAGTATGAAATTATACAAAGTATCAACATACACAGCCCAGGATTAACTATAATGAATGTAGGCACTAGACAGGCTAGAGAAGCTCTGCTTTCAATAAACACCAATATTTCCAAAAGCTTATTCAGAC